GCATTTAACTGGGAGCTTGTTTACAGTTCTAGAAAGTTAGCCCATGTTATCACGGTGGGCAGTAGCTGAGAGCTTTACATACTGATCCACATGCAACAGGAAGAGACAGAGAGAGAAAAAGACATACATACATACATACATACATACAGACAGACAGAGACTGGGACTGGCATGGGCTTTTGAAACCCCAAAGCCCACCCCTAGTGATACACCTCCTCCAATGAGGCCACAACTCCTAATCCTTTCTGAACAATTCCACTAACTGGGGAGCAAACATTTAAGCCTATGAGCCTATGGGAGTGGTGCATTCCATTCAGAACACCACACTTGGCTAGACTATGGTAGAACCAGAAACCCAGAGTTTTTCTATTGATTTGCTTATTATTTCAAAGGCTTCTACCCTGCCAACATCCCCTTACTTTTGACAGGGTCTCACATACACTATAACTCAAACTTACTGCATAGCTGAGGATGACCTCCTGCCTCCACCTCTCCAGTGATAGCAATAGGAGCCTGTGTCACCATGTCTGATTTATGCTGGGGATCAAACCCAGGACCTCTTGTATGCTAGGCAAGCATTAAACCAACAGAACTACATCTCTGCTCTAGCATAAGTCTTGGGAAGAGTGCTGCAAACCACTGGTCCAAGTCTTTTGTGCTCTGGTGCAGGGAGAAGCCAGAGCCTTTACGGCTATCAGCCAACACAACACATCGCCAGCCTACTACAGGGGCAATAAGACTCTGGCTTCATCCAGCTCCTCTTCCAGGATACATTTCTGGATTTCTATAGCATTGAATGACATACAGATGTTTCCAGATGTCCTTTTTATTAACAGCTCTCCAACACATCCTCCCTATGTGGATGGTTTTGTGGTTTATATTTTGATGCAAAACTTCCTGCATCCCAAGACTGGCCTTATCTTTTCATCTTTGCTAGAGATAGCCTTGAACTCTTGATCCTCCTGCCTCCACCTCCCAAGTGCTGGGATTAGAGGTGGGTAGAATCACACCCTGTTTATGGCAGTGCTGGGGATTGAGCCCAGGGTTTCATGCAAGATAGAGGAGCCCTCTACAAACTGAGCTGTATCCCTAGTCCCTGATCATCCTGGCATTTCTCTCTTTACTGCCACCATTTCGAGTCAACCCACGGATGGGGCACCGATTGCAGCTCTGAAGGCCACTATTTTTAGAGGACCTCTGCTAGGCTGTTGCTGTAATCGAGGAGCAGGAACATTGCCACATCTCTGGAGAGATTCCAAAACCAGTGATTGCATCCAGAGCCTTGCTTAGGTTCCTATCATGCCACCAAGCAGGGCATGCGTGGCATCTGGAAGAAGTGTCCTCAGAAGGCTTGCCAAGGGGAAAGAGACTGAAGAAATCAAGTCCCTGTGGCTGAGCTGGCAAGTGACTTCACCCTGAGTGGGACTGGGGCTGGCACTGCCGAGCTCCTGAACGTGGCTCCTGAACGTGGTTCCTGGGGAACTAAGTGTAAGAACTGGATAACGCCAGAGCAGGAGCACAGAACTGAAGGCGATGCGAAGGGAAGGAAACTGTAGAACCAAAAAGAAAATCGCCAGCCCAGACATGGGGGCCCCGTGCTTGCAATCTCACCATTTCGGGAGGCTGAAGCAAGAAAATCATGTTGAGTACCAGGCTAGCCTGAGCTATGTGGCAAGAATAAGAGTCTGTCTCAAGAGAAATAACAGAGAAAGAAATTCACAAGGAAGGGTGCAGCCGACCTGCAGACCTCAGCCGGATTTCAAGAGTGTGGGAACCTGACGGCACTCAGACGACATGGTGATGTGTTACTGATGGAGAGTTAAGATCGGCCTAGGCAGCATAGATGACACCCTGCCTAGAAAACAAACAAACCCAACCCTTTCCAGGGCTGGAGAGATGACTCGGCAATTAAGAGCACTGGCTGGTCTACCGGAGGACCCAGGTAAATAGTCCCAGAACTCATAGGGCAGCTGGTAAGTAGTTCCAGTTCCGGACTATCCACTGCCCTCTTCTGGCCTCCATGGACACTGCATGCGAACAGTAAACAGAAACTCTTTCAGGCAAAGCATAGATACACATAAATTAAGAATAAACCTGGGAGCCAGGAGTGGTGGCGCACGCCTTTAATTCCAACACTCAGAAGGCAGAGACAGGTGGAGCTCCGTGAGTTCAAGACCAGCCTGGTCTACAAAGAAAGCCCTTTCCAGGACAGCCAGCAACCAGGTCCACTACACAGAGGACCCCTGTTTGGGAGGGGAGGGTGGGGGTGGAATTCAGAGAGCTGGACCCCGAAATCCCATCAACTCCCTTTAAGAGAGAGATGGTCACAAAGCGGTAGGTAGCTGCTTACCATAAATCTAGTATGCATTTATTATTTTTAGGGGGCATTTCACACATCAGTTTAAACCATGAAACCCAATATGGACAATTGAACAGATCCGCCATATACAGGCTACCCATGCATGCTTGCTTCAGCACTGCCAGGGCATAAACTTTAATTTCATTTCACACATACCACAGCAAGTATGTGGAGGATGGAGAACAACTTAGGGAGTCCCTTCTCTCATTCCACTGTGGAATTCCAGGATGGAGGCTCGGGTCATCAAATGTGCACAAAAAGAGCCGTCTCCACAGCTCACCAGGTGCAAATGTCAGCAATGGCTCTTCCTTAGGAGGACCCTCAAGTTGTTCAGGATTGTTCCAGAAGATAGTGTCATAGGAGGTGACAGCCCCCGACTGTCCTGAAGAACCTCCAGGCTGGTCTTAAACTTCTGCCCCTTCTGCCTCCACCTCCGGAGTACTGGTATTACAGTGTGTGTCGTCATCACACCTAGAAAAATGTATTTTAACAGTGTAGCCCAGGAAGGTTTACAAAGTCCATAGCACTGTTATACTCTGGGCCCGCACACTCACATCTGCTTCCTGACACCCGAGCAGAGCAGGCCTCTTTCTTTTTTTTTTTTTAATATTTATTCATTTATTATGTATACAATATTCTGTCTGTGTGTAAGCCTGAAGGCCAGAAGAGGGCGCCAGACCTCTTTACAGATGGTTGTGAGCCACCATGTGGTTGCTGGGAATTGAACTCAGGACCTTTGGAAGAGCAGGCAATGCTCTTAACCACTGAGCCATCACTCCAGCCCTCTACAGGCCTCTTTCATAGGAGGCCCAAGTCCTGAGACTGCAGCATGAGTCACCACGCCCAGCTCAGTTCCTTCAGTGCCGAGAACAGAACCCAGGGCTGCATGTGTGCTAGGCGAGCCCTCTACCAACTGAGCCACATCATATTCACATTCATATTGTGAAATTCCACAGCAGGAAATAATCTTCATGCCAAACGGTCAGGAACTATAAAGAGAATCAATCATCATTATTATTATGTTTTATTTATTCTTTGAGAATTTCATATAATGCATGTTAATCATATTGACCCCCACTGCTCCAGATCCACCCCCGTCTCCCCACCTTCCCACCTCCAGTTTCATGCCCCCCTTTTTTAAAATTATTTATTTATTTATTTATTCAAATATTTCTTTATTTATTATGTGTACAGTATTCTGCTTACAGCACCAGAAGAGGGTCCCAAATCTCACTACAAATGGTTTGGAGTCCCCATGTGGTTTCTGGGAATTGAACTCAGGACCTTTGGAAGAGCAGTCAGTGCTCTTAACCTCTGAGCCATCTCTCCAGCCCTAAAATTATTTATTTATTTATTTATTTATTTATTTATTTATTTATTAAAGATTTCTGTCTCTTCCCCACCACTGCCTCCCATTTCCCTCCCCCTCCCCCAATCAAGGCCCCATCCCTCCTCAGCCCAAAGAGCAATCAGGGTTCCCTGCCCTGTGGGAAGTCCAAGGACCACCCACCTCCATCCAGGTCTAGTAAGGTGAGCATCCAAACTGCCTAGGCTCCCACAAAGCCAGTATGTGTAGTAGGATCAAAACCCATTGCCATTGTTCTTGAGTTCTCAGTAGTCCTCATTGTCCGCTATGTTCAGTGAGTCCGGTTTTATCCCAGGCTTTTTCAGACCCAGGCCAGCTGGCCTTGGTGAGTTCCCGATAGAACATCCCCATTGTCTCAGTGTGTGGGTGCACCCCTCACGGTCCTGAGTTCCTTGCTCGTGCTCTCTCTCCTTCTGCTCCTGATTTGGACTTTGAGATTTCTGTCCGGTGCTCCAATGTGGGTCTCTGTCTCTGTCTCCTTTCATCGCCTGATGAAAGTTAATATTCAGGAGGATGCCTATATGTTTTTCTTTGGGTTCTCCTTCTTATTTAGCTTCTCTAGGATCACTAATTATAGGCTCAATGTCCTTTATTTATGGCTAGAAACCAAATATGAGTGAGTACATCCCATGTTCCTCTTTTTGGGTCTGGCTTACCTCACTCAGGATAGTGTTTTCTATTTCCATCCTTATGCATGCAAAATTCAAGCAGTCCTTGTTTTTAACTACTGAGTAGTACTCTAATATGTATATGTTCCATACTTTCTTCATCCATTCTTCCATTGAAGGGCATCTAGGCTTTCATGCCCCTTTTTTTGTTTTTTAAAGTTCTTAACTCTTATGCAGCCTCTGAGAGAGGTCTTGAGGAGAGAGCATTTCAGACAGGATTCCTGGGAGCCTGCAAGAAGGCACCACATTGCCTGGCCATCATCCAGCAGCTGGCCAGCAGGTGGCAGTATCTATCCACTTTCAGCTTCTCCAGGCCGTGCCCAAAGATACTCCTATAAACAAACAGTAAACTAAAGCCCAGAGAAGAGAGTTAAAGAAAATCCCCAATCCTGGTGCATTGTTCTGGTCTGAGTCACGGCATCTCACCCTCTCCCATACAGACCCCTTTGGACGGGCCAGTCCGTGGAGAAAGGGGCTCTGGAGCATTCCAAAAGCGTGATGTCATCTGGATGCTTGCTTCCTTCCAGGGTTTGTTTCCATCAGGCTGCGAGGAGGCCCGGACACCTGCTTACTTACAGTCCCACAGCTGAGGGGGTTTCCTCTTCACACTTAAAAAAGCACAGTGTTGCACTCAAAGCTTTCCTCATATGTCAGATTGTTTTCTCCGGACTGACTCCAAGAAGCAAAGACAATGACCTCCGCCAAGGAATGGTAACCGTTAATTAGCCATCAGTCTTGCTGGTTGCTTCCGCCTCTGAATTAAGGCCTCAGCTATGCAGCCAAAGGAACCGGCTCTTAATCCTGCCTCAGCCTCTTCAGCTGACTTCAGGTAAAAGTGATTATTTTGATTACATGTACAGCAAGTTAGGAAAAGTAAATGAAGCCGACGGCCGTGCAGGCCTATAGTCTAGCACTGGGGAGGTGGGGGCAGGAGGATCAGGCATTTAAGGTTATTCTTAGCTACAGAGAGTTTGAAGCCATCCTCAGATACGGGAAACTTTGTCTCAAAAGACAAAATCAAATCCGTCAGTTATAATAGAATATAATCAGTACTGCCGGGGTGTGGCGACGCACACCTGTAATCCCAGAGTCTGGGAGGCCAATACAGTGGCAGCCCAGGCTGAGCAGGGAGACCTTGTAAACTCGCACACTCTATACCATTCTCTACAAAATCTCTCGGGTCATTACCCCTCCCTGCCTCTTCTAGTCTTCTAGTGGTCATCAATTGACCACTCTCTCTAAGGTTTCAGCACCCCTGGTGGACCTTGAACTCACTACTTAGCAGAGGATGACCTTGAACTCCTGACTATCCTACTTCTACTTCCTGAATGCTGGAACTACAGGTGTAGATTGTGTTGCCTTGCCCCACCTTGAAGACCTAAGAGCCTGTATGTATACTGATGGTGATGATCAGAGACAGGGGAAAATCTGGACTGGGCTGGTAGAGTGCTTGCCTAGTATGCGCAAAGACCTGGGCTAGATCCCTGGTCCACACAAAGGAAGTTTGACGGTGCAGATGAGGACCAGTAATCCCAGCACCCAGGAGTGGAGGCAGATCTGGGGTTCTAGTCATCCTCAACTACATTGCCAACCAAAGGTCAACCTGGGCTACAGGAGACTCTGTCAAACAACAAAAAACACCTAGATAAATCAAATCTTGGGCTGGAGTTGTAACTAGAGTAATTGGCTAGCATACCAGGCCCATGGTTCTATTCCTAGCAAAGAGTGTGTGTGTGTGCGCGCGCGTGCGTGTGTGCACACGTGCGTCTGCACATACACACGTTGGCAAAGATGTGGAGAAATCTGAACACTGTGTGTTGCTATGGTAAAGATGGTGCAGTCACTGTGAAAATCAGACCTGTGGTTCCTCAGCAAGCTCGGCATGGACGAATGAAGTTCAGTGGGAGAGAAAGAGTTGCCTGGCACACATAAGGTCCTGCCTTTATTGCCCAGTGCCACAAGGAGAGGAGAGTCATATTATCACACAGCCATCCTGGTTTCACTTCCAGGTAAACACATGAGGGAATCCGCACACTGGCATTCAAGTACGTGTCCCCAGTTGTAATAGTGGCTCAGTCACAATAGCCAGAGAGTTGAGATGCGTTAACTCCCACCAGCCAATGAACTGAATGCAAAATTCAGCAGACTTCCACACAGAATATGATCAGCCATGAAAAGGAACTACTGACACGTGCTACAAGGGAGATGAAGTAAGACATGCCAAATGAGATCGGACCCCAAAGGGTAAAAGTGGATAAAAGAATCCATAGAGACAGAAATCCAATCCGTGAGGGTGGGAGTTCACAACTGTAAATAGGAGCACTTGGGAGGGAGAAGTTGGGGGTGACAAGTTCAAGGTCATTCTCAACTACACCAGGAGTTAGTTCACAGCCAGCCTCAAACACATAAGACCTTGTCTCAAAAGACCAAAAATGGGAGAGGAGAGAGGAAGTGAAGGGAGAGGGGGAGGAAAAAAAAGACAAGGTAGGACTGAGGAGGAAAAGCAAATTGATCCCATCTCATCCTCGGACGGGTTCAGGAGAGGTGGGGACTGACTGCTGAGAAGGTACTGGCTTTTCGAGGTCAAGAAAACGGCGTGGAGTTAGACGCAGCATTTACACAGCTGTGCACTCAACCCTTGCCCCTCCCTTACCCAACATCCTGCAGCAACCTCCTAAGGACTCCAGGCCCTGCAGGAGTTGATCCCTCCTCTGTCTCTGCCTCTTGCTGCCTCCACACCCTGGACCCCTCTGGTCTCCAGGCACTAAAGCCCCATTCCCACCACTGTTTCCTACATGTGTCCGCTCAGTCCTATACTGACTTTACCTCCTCTGCGTCCTCCTCAAATCTCTCAGATTTGGCCTTTGATAAACACCCCACTAAGTGCTCACATCTGTCACCTAGCACATGTCCCCTGTCCACAGTTTTTGTTCCGGCTCACATGTTGTCATTACTATGCTGTATCCATCTCCCCTGGGCTGGGATACAGGATGCAGACTATGAGAACAGAGATCTTATTTTTGCGATAAAGCTTCTGAAATTAGGGCTCGGCACATAGTAGGTGCTGAATAAATATAAATATCCAATCGATGGATTTTAGGACTAGATATGACATTATAATTAAAAGGTATACAGGGATGGCAGGATGACTTGGCAGGTAAAGAAACTTGTCCCCAAACTTGACAACCTGAGTTCTCTTCTTAGGACCTGCATGAACCCGAGAGAACCAAGTCCTGCAAGTTGTCCTCTGACCTCTACCTGGATGCTGCGGCACTCGTGCTCCAAGGTAAGTGCATGCACACACCTGTACACACAAATTCATAACCGTGTGACTCAAGGAAAATGCTCAGTAAAAGTCAGCAGCTATGACTGTGTGCAAGGAGACCACTGACCTCCATCTTGGCAGGGCCAGCCCTCTTCTATCTTCTTCCCCCACCACTTCTCCCATTTTCTTCTTTACATTTAATTTATTTAGTTGTCTGAGAGTCTCAAATAGCCCAGACTGTTCTTTACCTGCTAAGTGGTTGAGGATAGCCTTGAACTTCTAATCTTTTGAGCACTGGGCTCTCAAGTGTGCATCACTAAATCCAGTCTTATGTGGTGCCGGCCATCCAACCAGGAATCCATGCCTGTCAAACACTCTGCAGACTGAGTCAAAACCCCCAGCCCGGTTTTGCATATTTTTGAGACAGAGTCTCAGGTAGCCGAGGCTGGCCTTGAAATTGGTGTGAAGCCAACGATAACCTTGAACCCCTGATCCTCTGGCTTCTCCTGCTTCAGCCTCACAGTGGGGACACAGGCTCCTCACAGTGGGGACACAGGCTCCTCACAGTGGGGACACAGGCTCCGCTGGTTTCTCACATGAGCTCGCTCTTATCCAAAGTTCTGTCATTCCCATTCCAAAGGTTAGACTGCCCAACCTGCTTCACCTCTTGTGTTTCCTCTACCTTAGGCCCCAGGCTTCCTGGAAAAACCATCAAAACCTCCTGTCTACTGGAAGGTCCCCAAGGGTGGGGCAGGGCTGCGGCACCCACCTGTTCTATTGGCTCTAGCTGCAGCAGGCACTCATTCAATGCTCACTGGGTGAAATAGAAAGCCAGAGGACACGTTTTCCAGTCAGACCTCTCAAGAGGCTTGTAAGTCTCTGAACTAGTGACAGATTCTGAGGATTTTTTAAAAAAGAACTTTAAAAATTACATTTTATCTTTTTAATCAGAGCCGTGAAGCATGTGCCTCACGTGGGTCTCAGGGATCAAACTCAAGTTTGGCAGCAAGCACCTTTGTCTGTTGAGCCAGCTCACTGGCCCCTGAGGATGAGCATTAAAGAAGCTCAGAGAAGAACCCATGGACAGTTTGCTGTCTGCTCTGTGGCTACCAAGCAGGGAGCCATCTCTTGTTAAAGCCGGGCCACCTGTTTCCTAGGGACTCCCAGAGATGGCCGCTTTTCCACACAGACCTGGGTGGCAACGTGGTCTCCTTGGCTGACCCTCTTTGACCAGAGCGCACTCCCCAAGACCAAGGGAGCCACCTGCCCAGGGTTGGGTTCCCAGCTCCACAATCTGCAAACTGTATGACCCTGGGCGAAGCACTGTCTCCTCCGGGCTTTTCTGCCCTGCAAAGTAAGTGACTATACCTGTGACCCGATAGAGCGGAAAGGCATGAAATCTGATCAGTCCGGGAAGGTCTCGTCTTGGTTGCTGAGAAACCTCAATTTTCGGTTTCTCAACAAACCTTCAGTAAGTAGCAAGAATGTGGAGCAAAGTGTACGGAACAGGACTTTAGCTTGACTTTAATTCTAATTTTCCGAGTCTCCTTCCGTCTGGAGGCATCAGGTCTGAGACTGAACCGACCCAGGTAGGAGGTGACAGGTACCCCGGGAGAGCACCCTCCCCCGCACGCCCTTTCCCTGCAGCTGGTGACACCCAGACTCCAAAAGTGAAGCACCCGGGGTGGGGCGGGGCAGGGCGGGGCGAACAGCGAGCGAACCCGATTGGTCCCTACATGCCACGTGTCCCCTGCCACGGTGAGCCCAGTCTGCGCTGCAGCTGCTGCTAGGCTAACGGGCTTCGAGCTGCGTCGTCTGTCCGCCCTGACCTAAGGCCTCCCCCGCACGGTGAGTGTGCAGAGTCGCTGCAGGGCACGGAGTCCATGGCTGCAGGGACCGGGGACCGGCATCTTGCTTGCTGGGTCCCTGCTGGGGTATGGCCACCCCGGAGTGTCGCGGTTGGGTGTGTCCCTGGAGGGAACCTGAGATGCAGGCGTGGGGTGACAGCGCCCCTGCCCCTGTGGGGGAGGGGAGATGGTGAAACCCCGGCCCCGCCGAGGGTGTGGTCCAAGGCTGGGGACGCCTGATCGTTTTAATTTCACGGGTGGAAAAACTTGGGAAGACTGGAGACGCAGATCTAGGGACCCTCTGGGAAGACTGTGAGTTGCCCAACTTTGAGAGTTTGAGGAATCCTCTCCTGCGCGCCATCCCAGAGACTCCATGATGCCCACCTAGGAAGGACCAGCTGTCCATCCCGAGGGTTCTGATGGTCTGGCCTACATTGCGCAGCTGCTCACCTGTCGGGGAGCCACAGAGGCGCTTAGCCGGATGCAGAGGCCCCACTCTTTCTTCTGCTTCTCCTAAGCCAACCCCGCACCTTCCCAAAGCTCCAGGACCTTAGATGCGTTCTAATGACCTCGAATCCTGACCCCGCCACAAATTTATAGTGTGACCTTGAGCCGGGCTCTTTCCCTCTCTGAGCCTCCCTCTCCCCTCTTTCTGGGTAAACAGTCACTGTGAAAGTGGGTTGCTCTGGCTGCCAGTACAGGTGTGGGCGGTGAAAAGCTCCTTTAGGAGAGTGAATCTGGCCTCTGCTTCCTCCTTCCCTCCCTGTCCTTTTATCTAAACTCTGGTGGGTCTTCCCAGACACTTCCAAATTTGGGCATATGGCTCCTGGGTTTATAAGAGCTCCGGGTGTCCCCCGAGAATCTGCCCTCCTTTCCTCCTCCTCTCCTGCCCAGATCACATCTTGAGCTGCTGTCCCCACCCCCAAACAAGATAGCTTGACTTCGAAGCCTTTCTTGCCCCGTCTGCAACCATTTCGGCTCGGAGCTTTGCAGAAGACCCTGGGCAACTCTCCCTCATGTCCATGGGCTGCAGCTTGCCTGGGGCCCTTGGATGGGTCTCTTTTCTCTCTGGACCCTTGTGGCCCATAGCAGTCTGCTGAGGTGGCTGCTACTTCCGGTGCTTCCCCACCACCACCGCCCAATTCAACTGCTCTCAGATTTGGGAGTTGGGTGTGGCTGGGCATGGAGGGAAGGTCTTCATCCCCTTGCAGCTGTGACTGTCGCTCACCATGTCCCTTTACTTCCTGTCCTTTTGTTCATGAGCCTCCCTCTGCTGGGATACTGAACCAGTTTGCTGTGTCTGGGCAGGGGAATGCAGCTGTTGATGGACAGAACATGGACTTGCCCTGAGAATGGAGATGCTGGGGTTGGGGATTGGGCTGGGAGTGGGGGACTGCAGCACTGGAGAGCTGCCAGAGACCATACAGACATCTGCACTGCAGCTCCCAGAGGAGTCCTGGACACCAGCCCCAGCCCCGCCCCATCTCTGCCCCTCCACACACCAGCTGGGCACCTCCCCACCTTGATTCCTTCCTCCCTGGAGAAAGAGACCTGTACCCAAGTCCCCAGCTGGTAAGATGTGTTGGCTCTTTAAAGTACCATTCTGGCTCAGTGGTGGCCCCAGGGCATCCCTAGTCAACTTCTTCAAGAGACTTCCTGGGTGGGGTCAGAGCTGAGGATGTGGTCTCCACAGATTCCTGGGTGTGGGGGAGGTGAGGGTTGTATCCTGGTTTGCTGCTTCTTGGCTTGGAATCTGTTTATATTCTGCATCCATTTGCATTCGGAATGCCCTCTCCTGGCGGACTGAGAAGCCCCCACTGAGGCTGGCCCTGCAGAGAGCTGTGTCAGCTTCCGGGTTCCACCATCAGTAAAAGGAGGACCTTCATGTGGTATCTAGCCAGCAGATATGCAAGTGCCTCGCAAACTGTAGAGTGTTCTGTGTAGAGAAGCCAGTGCTGCCATGGTAACCTCAGCCAGTTGTGGTACTCAGGAGGGAAGCTACCTGAGCCTCAGGTTCCTCTTTCTGTTGTCCACATGCTCCTTAAAGTCATTGTCACTGATGGAACCCTTCCAGCTGAGCAGACTCAGGGAACCCTGGCTTTGTTGGATGCTGGTATCAGACCATTACAGAGATAGAGATACCCTAGTCCTCAAATGTAAAGAAGTGGCTAGAAATGTGGTCCCCTACCTAGGGGATGCCTTGGTTCCTTCCCCCAGGGTGGCATAAACTGTGTGTATCCGCAATCCCAACACTTGGGAGGTGAAAGATGCAGGATCTGGAAGGTCAAAGTTCAAGATCACTCTGAGCTACCTAGTAAGTTGGGTACAGGAGGCCCCATCTCAAAAAAAAAAAAAAAAAAAGATGAAGCATAGTTGTAAGCCCTTGCACAACACTTTCTGTGCATGAACTTTCTGTGCAAGGTCCTTGTGTGCACACTCATCTTGTCTTCATTCTTGCCAGGTGTGGTAGCCAGTGGCTTTGTTTTAATTCCAGCAGAGGCAGTTTAAGACCAGCCTAGGCTGCGAGAGAGAGAGAGAGAGAGAGAGAGAGAGAGAGAGAGAGACAGACCTGTCTTCAAACAAACAAAAAGTCTCAAATGTCTTTATTCTTTACACCTTAACCATAATCTTTATAAGAGTTAGGTTTTAAATATTTTTATTTACATGCATTTATTTATTTGAATATGTACATATGTGCCAGGGTATGCATGTGGAAGTCAGGCCATCTTTCCGGAAGTTGATTATCTCCTCCCATGTTGTGGGTCCTGGATGGAACTCAGGTCAAAAGGCTTCTCACATGCTGAGTCATCTGGCTTCTGTTTTTACCCCCATTTTCCATATGAGACAAGGTCTCTCTTTTTGTTTGCCACTAGCCAAACAGAACTATTGAGGGTTCTCTTGTCTCTGCCTCCTATCCTGCAGTAGGATGGTAGATTTGGGTTCTGGGGGTTTGAACTCAGGTCCTTCCCGCCACACAGCTTCTAAACAGCACCTTGGAGCTTTGACTTCAGGACTCCTGACATCTGTGAGACTTTATCATTCAGGGAGTGACCTCACCTAGGATTCAAACCCACATCAGGCAGTTTCTGATCCTGGGGCAGTCAGACAACGACGAATGCCTGGGGCCTTGCCCAACTGGGGATCAATGACTGTTGGTCAGGAGTTGGAAAGACACTGCTCTCGAAGAAACCTGAGTGTCTGGATTGGGGGGAAGGGCAAGAGAGGGATGCTCTATCCTACTGTGTCAGCTGGGATTGGGAGCTGCTCCTTCTGGCTGGGGGAAGCCCATAAGAAAAAGAGAAATCATTTTCTAGATTTCCCTTTTCTTGGAGGTAGGAATAGAACCCAAGGACTTACACAGGCTGGTTGAATAATCTACACCAAACTGCATACCCAGCCTGAGAGGAGTTTTGAAAACCAAAGCCTTCAAAGTACAATAGACTTACCCCAGGAGGCACCAAACCTTTCTGGTACACAGAAAGTTCTCAGACTCTGTTATTAAAATAAATGGTTGTTTTTGAGACAGGGTCTCATGAAGCTAATAGGTTTTCTGTACCCCGATAATAGGTTTCTCCGCCGGCACAGTAAGCCAGATCAAGCCGAATTAAAAAGTCAAAGACTAGGTTTATTCTGAGCAAAATAACTCCTGGGTGATTCCTCCAGCCCCCAGAGATGGAGGCGGGAGAAGGGGCAGGAAAAATCACATGGCCAATCTAGGGAGGGAGCTTAAATACCCTGTGGGGAGGATGAGGGGGTGGGTGTGGGTGGTGATGACCACAGCTGGGTTTGCATCCAATTATAACACCTTAGGCAGGGATTGGCCCGACACCCCTGCCTCCAAGAATGTAGAACTGGGCTTTTGGCGGTCTTGGAGATTCACCAAGAGAGCGGGGTTTGGAGAGAGAGAAATGGAGGCTTTCAAAGGAGCGAGCTGGAAGTCCCAGCCGAACAGTAGCCCAGGCTGGCCTTGAACATGCTTTATAACTGATGGTGAATTTCTAATCCTCCAGCCTCCACCTCCCACATGCTAGGGTTGCTTGTGTGTGCTATCATGCCTGATTTATTCAGTGCTAGGGATCAAACCCAGGGCCTTCTGCATTCTGGACAGGTACTCTGCCAGCTGAGCTACATCCCAACCTACAACATGGACTTTTTCTAT